CTAATTTTTTCTCTGTTGATATTTAATTAAAAAATCATGAATCAAAACCTCTGAGTAAAATGCACAGAGGAAATTATAAGTCGAATTCTTAAAGTGCATTCTCAAAAACCAAACCATCTTATAGGTGATTATTTCATATATAAATTCTAAAAACACTGCTTTTTTCCCCAAATCCTGCTTTGATTCTACCCTTTGTGTTTGTTGCATGTGAACAAAGCTAAGAGTGCCTGCAAAATTCATCAGTCTGGGAAATGATGTTCCAAGTTCTAGTGACTCAAAAAATGTAAGTAAAGGAAATGGCCAGACCTGGTTTTGGTTTTTCAGCAAAGGGAAGTCTCTGGGGGCTCCGAGATCCTCTGCAGGCTGAACATGACCATGCTGTTCCCAGCTGCCAGCAGGAACACAGGTGGCAAAGCGCTACCCTTCCTGGACTCCACGCTGAAATTCAGCTGGAATCAAGAGCCACCATTAGCTCCCGTGCGTGGGCCCAGCTCTGCTTGGGAACCATGGAGTGGTGTTCAAAGCTCAGCAGGTCTGCGGTGGGAGATGCCTGCTGGGCACTTCCCAGCTGACACGCGTTACTCTGATCTCTTCCACGGAGGTAGGCTTCCCCTGGCGCAATGCAGCACTGGCTGTGGGATTTGTGTGAGCAATCTGAAGTGCCATTCAAAGGCTGCTACTTCTCCCCACCTCTTTGCATGAGCAACCTGATGTGCCATTCAAAGACTGCTACTTCCCCCCTCCTTGAAGCACCTGCTTTGTACACCCCTTGCAAACACCGTGTGAAGGGAAAGCCTTTAGGCTTGCAGTTGTTTTAATCTCCTAGCAAACCAAGGATCTGTTTCCCCCTTTGGTTGCCAGCAGAATAATAAGCCTCACAGAATTAGTAATGCGAAGGTTTCATTCTGAATGCATCGCAGCTGTGGAAAATACATACCCCAGCTTTCTGGGCTGACGACTTCCAACTGTATCCAAAACAATCACCACTATAACTCCCACTCAGGACTGCTTCCCAGCACCAACCCTAGCAGGAAACATCCCCCAAAATTAAAGCCTGAGCTTACATGACAGAAATGCAAGGTCTTGAGTATCTGAACATTCTCGGTGTGCCCTCAAGGGTGGGCACAGCGTGCAGGAGTCAGTAGTACAGCACAGGTTGGGCAGGAAAGGACAAGGCCTCCTCCCTTCTCCTTCCAGCTTTCTTAAATGCTCTAGGAAGCCCTCACATGTTAAAGATTTCTCCTCTTGCTGTAGCCAGAAATGGTTATGAAATGCTAACTCTCTGCTGCAAGCTCTTCAGTGCCACGCTGGTGCTGCCTCTCCCCTCCGTCTGTCTCATCTGGTGAAGTAATGCTTTGTCCAACGGAGCTACAGCAGGTTCATTAGCTGATGTCAACATCACAGCCAATATCAAGTCTCCAGAGCATTGAGCAGCGTTGTTTGTAGTCCCCTACAGCACCCTTCTGAACCCGTCTGAAAGGCAGCCTTCACCCACCCCAGACCTGCGTGGCCAGGGCAAATTTTGGGTCTTCAGGTCAAAATCTAGAGGCTTAGGGAGTGGTGTGCTGACAATGGATCCTGCTGCTGGAGCCCGCTCTTGTTATTGTGCTGATCCAGGCTGTTGGGCTATCAAGGGCCCGATAAACTCTCTGCAGGCAAAGGGTCTCCCCCAGCGCTGGGGACTGGGCAGCGTGCTACAGAGCCATGTTGCATGGCCCGGTACTGACCCGTTGTTACTGGGGTCTTCACATGGGAAGACGGTCTCCCAAAGCTCCTTTCCCTGTCATTCTCCACCCTAACGTCTCCTGGCCAGCTTCGGCTGTGTCGGGCAGAGAGGTGCGGCCCCGGGCAGCGGCAAGGGGGGACGCAGTGCTCCGTTGAGGGAAGGGCTCCACGCCAATGCATGGGGCTGGGCCAAGTGTGCTGTTGGCACAGCAATAGCTCAGATCCAGCTACAGCAAAGGGCTGCCCAGGATCGTGGGGACGCGCAGAGCTACTGGTAAAGACACAGTGTTAAAATGAAAGCAAGTTTCAGTGCTTTGCTGCTCCTGGAAGAGGTACTTGTCTCCTTAACGGGACGGTTCCCATGTCAGAAAGTTGCCTCTTTTAAAGTGACATTTAGTGTAAGGGGAATATTCCTGTCAGTGTTTCAGTTGCACTTGGTTGAAGACACCATCTGCTGCGACACTTGGCCAGCTTGGCATTTAGAATGTCATTTAGACCGGAAAGCAACCGAGCCTGGCTACTGAGGCAGGCATCACGAGCAAAGGTGAACTTCCATAAGCGAAGGAGGTTGCTGATAAAAAAGACTGAATTGCAGAAGCGTTTACAGAGAGCCTTGTGGAAGATGGCTGATTTTTCTGCATATGCTTTATTACCCGTACATGCCTTATGCAATCTACTTTGGAGAAGCAGTGTTACAAGAGTTGTCAGTGAAATTCTGCAGTTAAAATCCAGCATTTGTGGTTCCTCCTGCTTAAAGCAGGACGAGCTGGTTTCTGTCCTCTCCAGAAATGGCATTGACAGTATTTTCCAGACTGAGGTACTGAGTCCTAGGCTTGCTTCAGCCCAGTGGGGCAGGAGGATGAGCCCATTTTCCTGCCTTTCCGTGGAGTATTGCCGCACACAAAGCTGCTCAAAACTGTTTGTTCCCTTAGTATCTCTGCTCCAGCTGATAAAAAACCACAAACCAGCTCTGAGCCCTGTTTCTCCAGCACGGGAGGTGTAGGAAGATCTGCTGTGTCCCTGTCTGTCCCCTGAATGTAGTGGCTCGGTCCCAGCTGTGCCTCCTGATGCGTGTTGAAACTGCAATCCAAAAAATCCACAGGACAATGAAGAGGAATGAAATAGGTAGAAAACACATTAAAAAAAGAGTAGAGACTAAAACTAACAGAGCTAATTGCTCTACCCAGGTTTGTGCCCTTAGGGCAAGTATAGAGGAGTGTTGGTAATGAAGCTCTACAACAGCGCTGGGGGAAACTGGGTTCTTAAAGTCAAATAATCTATCAGGATGAAAACGTTGGAAGAGTCCTTTCCACGTATGCTGCTCAGTACGGCTCAAATTGCTTTTCGGCTGCACTCAGGGCTTTTGTTGACTTAAAGTAAATTAAACATTATCCTTTTTTAATTAGATAGGTTAGGAGATCTCAGCAAGTGCTACTTCTTATCAATTTAAAGACTAGAGCTAGTTTAAAGCAATTAAAGCTCAAACCCCCACCTTTAAATAATGAATTAATATGGAAATTTATTTAATATGGAAGCAACTGGGGTTTAAGTAACCCAGTGAGGCAGGGATGGGAAGGGAACGAAGCCAGCAGAGCCAGCAGCGCGGCTGCCGGGGTGGCTACTGGGGAGCGAAGTGGGTTTTCTCTTCTTGACAAGCAACTGCAAGCATACAAAATCTTCCAAACCCTTCTCAGCTGTCCTTACCAATGATTGTTGCATTTCAGCGTATTGGGTGTCATGGTCAAGGCGCTGGCAGCGGGGGCTGCGGGGCAGCCTGCGAGGAGCGGCCGGGGCTGCCCTGCACCGACACAGCTGGTTCCAGCTGCCCCTGCCCGGGACACAGCTGAGCCCCTCAGCCAAGATGGCGGCCCCTCTGGGAACAAGTGTTGAAGAAAGGCCAAAAACATTGCGCAGGCAGAGGAGCAGGAGGAGGGCGAGCAGGCGCTCCAGTCACTGGAGCAGATTCCTGGCAGCCCCCGGAGGGGCCCACACCGGAGCAGGCAGGCATGTCTTGACAGGAGAGCCTGGGCTGGAGCAAGTTCAGCCCGAAGGGCTGCACACCCGTGGAGAGGACTCGCGGTGGAACGCGCCAGGAAGGAGCAGCAGAAAGGGGCTGTCATGGACCAACCACAAGCCCCCTTCCCCAGGGCTGCTGCAGGGGGGAGGCAGAGGAGTCAGGAATGAAGGTATCAGCTTGAGCCTGGGAAGAAGCTGGGGATGTGGTGTTTGTCTTTTTTTTTTTTTCTTTGTTTCTCACTATGCAAATCTAACTTAATTGGCAATAAAGTCAAGTCTCTTTTGCCCATGACGGTAACTGGCAAGCAGTCTCCCAATCTTTCTCTCAGCCCACAAGCTTTCTGTTTTCTCCCCCATTCAGCGGGGTGGGGGGTGCAGTGAGGAGCTGGGCGGGCCCCACCGCTGTCAGAGGTACCTGCAGACCGGTCACCAGATGCATGCAGCCCTGTGGAGAGGGCGGCCCTGCTGAAAAATATGAGCAGGCTGGAGTAAGAACCAACCACCTGCAAGATACAGAAAAAAGCCACAGCCCCAACCCACTCTTCCAAATGCAAACTCACAAACTTCAAAATTTTAAGAATAGGTTCTGGTACATTTTACTTCTCTGCCTCCCCAAAAAAGCGTGCATTCTGAAACTCCCAAAGACCTTTGAAGTCTTATCACCACAGGGCAAACGGCGCATCCCAAACCCTTGTGAGAACATCAGTAACACAGAAGCAACAAAAAGGACTTCTGTGACAGGGGGCCCTCTGCTTACGGCCGAGTTCTCTTGGGGGGCAAGATGTCATCTGATTACTGTAGCCTTACAAGTTTTATATCATGTATCATACCACACTGTAGTACAGCTATGCATGCATACTCATGCACAAAGAATTTATAATAAAAACTATAATGTTTGATTTGCCTTATTATTCTAACTTAAAACATTTATAAGACAAGAGATGGCTTCCTAAAATAGTACATGAATAATGCATTATTTGCCAAGCACAGACTATAATAGGATAATGTTAAAGATGCGAATCCTGTATTTCAAATTTATACTTGTATTCTGTTGAATGGTACAAATGTGAGAAGTGACTGTCACAGGAATGGTTATCATGCTAGAAAGAGTTTGAGAGCTGCTTATGTGAAGACAAGCCACTGACAATATGACAAAAAGCCCAACATCTTGAGATTAAGACTTGTCATGTATTCTGTCCTCTACTTCTTCCCGATTCTCATTTGTTTTCCCCCCAATTCAATAAACTAAACTACAGCTGTCATAGGAGGATTTTATTTTGAGCAAACCCAGTGAAAATACAATTTGCACTGAAAGTCAAAGCTGAGGCAAGTCACATATTTTGTTATTTGCCAGCTGTTGTAGGTGGGATCCACTCCTGTATCTTCTTGCGAGTAGTAGAGTAAGGTACGTACTGTCCAGGAGTGCCACTCAGATTGAATTTATGGTTCTCCCAGATAAATTTACGAGCGACTGGTGGATGAGTAGTTGGAGGGTCATCTGTCATTGAGTGAAGCCAGCGATGCCTGAAGAGGAAAGAGACACAGTTATTAAGGAACATTACATGATCTCTAACAAGCCTTCCTCCTGACTCCCTGGGATTCTCCTCTGAAGAGACACTAAGTGTTATTGGGTGGTGGGGGTGGTTAATTTTATCATAGAATGGTTTGGGTTGGAAGGGACCTTATAGGTCATCTAGTTCCAGCCCCCGGCCATAGGCAGGGACACCTTCCACTAGACCAGGTTGCTCAAAGCCCCATCCAACCTGGCCCTGAACACTTCCAGGGAGAGGGCACCCACAACTTCTCTGGGTAACCTGTTCCAGGGCCTCACCACCCTCATAGCAAGGAATTTCTTTCTTCTACCTAGTCTAAATCTACTCTCTTTCAGCTTGAAGCCATTACCCCTTGTCCTGTCACTACAGGCCCTGGTAAAAAGTCTCTCTCCAGCTTTCTTCTAAGTCCCCTCTAAGTACTGAAAGGCCACAGTAAGGTCTCCCTGGAGCCTTCTCCAGGCTGCACAGTCCCAGCTCTCTCACCCTTTCCTCACAGCAGAGGTGTTCCATCCCTCTCATCATTTTTGTGGCCCTCCTCTGGAACTGCTCCAAGAGGTCCATGTCTTTCCTGTGCTTAAATCCTTACGGATTACTCCTTAATCCAGTATGACTTTGAACGAGACTACAGGATACTGATTTAGCGTAATTACACAAACATAACAGATAAATAACAGCTCTGCTTCCCAGCAACTGAAAGCACACCTGAGTTTGAATTTCCTGTTCTTTTGTACACTTCGTATGTGGGCAGAGAGTATTTCATTGTTCTGCATTTGTACGGCCTTAACCAGCCAGCAAGGTCAAGGCAGGCACTACAAATGACAAAATCACAAGGTTTTGTTTTGTTGTCTGAAAGTTTTTAGGTTTGAGCTTTTAATTTTGTTTTCAATTATCAGAAGACTACACTGCACAATTTTAATACCATCTCCAAAGCATTTCTGAGGCTGCCACTTGGGATATGGATTAATGATGCAGTTTCACCTAGAACAATCACATGAATGTTTACTGACTGCACAATAAAATGATTAATACCAATTAGTAACGGGGTAATTACCAAGTGATTATAGTGATTATCCTTTACCTATGAACTAAACGTCAGTCCTCCCTATGTAAACAACATTAATGATCAAGCAAAGTATTTTCCACAACAATTTACTGGAACACTACAGCAAAGATCAACTGAACTGATTTCATCCCATTTCCATTTCAGTGCAAAGCAACTTTCAAACCTGAATAACATTTTAATCATCTGCCAGTTTACATGTGCTTCATACTGTATACACAGTTATGACAGAAGCGAGGTTATGACTTTTTTTGCAAGCTTATGTATTTTTTACTGAGGTAGAATTAAAGAGGCTTCTGCTAATCAGCTTTTGCCAAAGACCTGACCAAAAAATAAGAAGTCTTCTATTCCAGTTGTTATTAGAAAGCCTAAAAATTGCATCTTCAGCCTTTAGCAACAAATCTGGCATACTTCATTGATACAGCAGAACAAAACCACAATAAAAGTAGTGAAAAATAGACTGACAAGTATATTCTGAATCTGGAAAGGTCTACAGAAGGCTGATTATCATTTCAGTCAAATAGCTTCTAGACATTTATTTCAGAAAAAGAAAACCTCACAACTTTGGTTATAACTTCAGTACAAAATCTCACTTTAAATAAAAAAAGTCAGCCACATGTTAATTTTCTGTAAGTAAAAAACAAACAAAAACCCCAAACAAAAGCCACACGTTGTAGAACTTAAGGACTGCCAGCAAACTAGCTTGAACACAAAACCAGATGGAACCATAAGATCCTGTAAAAGTAAGAAGAAACCCCTTGTTTAGAGGTAAAGAATGGCCTCCTATGGGAAAAATAATCCACTTGAGAGTTTGAAAGTTATACATACTTTCAGATGAAGTGACCCAGTGCAACATGAATGGGAAGGGGATCCCTCTCTTCCTCCCCCCATTCTCCTTTGTAGATCTGGTATCATTTCAAGTATACATTTCCCACTACTTCTATTAAAAAAGATTTTGGGTAGTGATTTCTGTGTGGAAGAAGGTGGCCCCATAGTGCTACTAAAGTCAATGTGGTCTGAGGATACAGGATCAGGCCTTCCTGGGTTTTAAACCTGGCATTACCAGCCTCTGAAATGCCCTGGCCATGTTACACAGAGCTCTGACCTCAGGTGAACTCCCTCTCCCAGTTCACAGCCATTAGAGGAATTCTGCCTACTAGTGTGCTCCAGACCACCTGTCCTATGATGGCTAGCATCACAGTTGGCAGAAACGCTGTAGAACAGCTAACGTGACAGAGGTGGCATCATATGCTCACACCCAACAAGCCAGCCCTCCATTGCTAACACAAAGAAACACACACTCTGTGGCGTGAGAGGAAGCGGATAAGAACAGTCCATGTATCCATACACATTCTGCCAACGCTGGCTTAAGTACTGCACTTCAAAATATTATCACTCCAGAGGAGCCTCAGCTTTTCAAAATTGCCTTCTGTAACATACAGAGGCAAACCGATCTCACACACCTTCACCTAGTGATGTTCTGGTAATAGTGGATAGCGATCCTGCAGACAAAATCTTACGTCTGCACCTGTCACCATGCCTCACCATCCCCATGCTCCCCCGAGAGCTGTGCACACCAACAGGGCAAACAAAAAATTGTCTTCTCAGACAGAAATGCAGTTACAAAGGCCCTGAAAGACAGGCTGGAGCAGGTGGAGCACAAGAACTGTACTAAAGCTCAGTTAAAATCAACTAGATTTCAAGCTTGCGTTGATGTCTGGCACCTCTGTCATTACAAGTCTACTCAGGTCGTACACTCCTTGAAATGTCAGAAAAATTATCACAAGATTGACTTCTTTACTCACTTAAATAGTTTTATTCTGTCCTTTGAACTACTCTTTTGCAGGTTTTCTACGACTAAATCTATGAAGTCTTCTAAAATACAGTATTTTGGAGTAATTAATGTATTTGATCTCAGAATTTTCCAGAGTTCTATAACATAAACATGCAATCGGCCTCAAATTTAAACAGATCAGCAAAACCAACCCTTAAATCCCATTTTCTCACTGGGAAGCAGAAATAAAAATGCTTACCTACGAGACATGTCAGTACAGTCACAGGTACTGAAATACCTGAAGAGATTTCAAAAGTTTTAGAACTCCATCTACTATTAAGTACACTTAAATTTAAGAGTTTCAAGGCTTAAGCCTGGTCACAACAGATTTCCCTTAAAAGCCCATCATGTGACTTACAAAAGCATTTTGGTTTGCAGAGAGTCTGTTCTCTCACACAAAAACTCCCACTCTCCACTTAAGCAAAAATATGTAAAATCGGGAAACTTTATTTTGGGAAGACTTTCCCCTTGACAACCTCCCTCAAAGAGTCCTTTGAAGCCCTGATGTCTCCATAGACTGCTCCCAGATGCTCAAGAAAAGCTTTTCACGCACTAGATCGAACAGCATGAATAAAGAGATTGGAAGTCTTGCAGATGGCCAGACTTCTATACAAACTCTGCCTATAAATCCATGCATGGAAAAACAGGATTCAAAAGCAATTAATGGCTTAAAACCTACAAAGAAGCAGACAACAAACACAGAGCAAAGAAAATCAGGAGGGTAGCAGAAGCTCTGAAGAGGCTGAGGCAGCTTCCTGAATCACAAAGCAGAGTCACTACCAAGCAGGCTGAGGCTAGGCAAAGCCTCTGGACTTTTCCGTGGGTAAACAGATGAAAGACACCTCAAAGTATCTTCAAATACTCTCCAGACTATGTAGAATTTTCTCCTAAGTCTTAGACAAATATTTAAAAGCAAGGAGATTTCAAACTGAAGCTATAAGGGACCGAAGCCAATTATATGATGTACAAGCTGTCAAACAAGAACGGATGCTACACAAACTCCACAGCTACTACCATATGTGCATCTGCAAGGTTCAGGCACCATCTACGTAAGTTCAGGATGTTTGCCAACTTGCTCCCATCCACTTTTTCTAAGAAGTTAACCATGTTGCAACAAGACCAAAAAGAAGTGAAGATGTGTGTCATGGTCAAAGGGCAGAGAAGAATGTGAAGAGAAGGAATAAGGGACAAGCAAGAAGTTTTTGTTTATACATGGGAGATAGCTCTGATTTCTCATGCAAGCTACTACAAGATAAGATTGTATAGTAATGAGACAGCATCCCATTTACCTGAAGACACCACACTACCATTTAATCTAGTTACAAAGCCCACAAATTTATTGTGAAGCTCCTGAAAGGACAGAAATTTAACCCCGTCCTTCCTTTTCTGTTCAATCTTTTTGTTTTGTTTTCCTTGACTTGAAAAGCAGCGATTTTACAGGAGGATAGCACATTTCTTAACATTTCTTTGTATGTTGGCACATTTAAGTCTGAGATGCTACATTCCTCTCTCCTTCAGCTGTTAGATCAACTAACAAAGAGGTTTTAGACTATTAAACTGAAGTTAAATTTGAAATATTTCATTGTACAGAGTTAGCACTCCTGAAGCTCCTTCCAGTGATGTCGGATTTGCACCATAAAGAAATAAATATCAAAGTACAGGACAGACATTACACATACATAGGACAGTGCTGGCAAAATGAAGTGTCCCTGCAAAAGGAGAAAACTACCCTCAAATTACAGTTCTTCTTTCCCCACATGACATAACATATTGAACACGCAGATTATTTTTAACCAGTTTGTATACAAAAAACAGTTGTCAATTTGTTTTTGCAAAGTGTTTGGCCAAAACAAACAAAATTCCATTAAACCAGATACATGGTAAATGAACAGTGTGCAGACAGCCACGAAAGGCTTTGAACATGATGCAAGAGAAGCACATCTAGCATCTAGGATGTCAGTCCTTGACTCGCGTGCACTTTATATGCTGTCCAAAGGATGCCTTATTCGACAGCATAACCCTGTTGAAAGTGGAAAACTGGGTTCCAAGTTGCCCCCGCTCAGTGGGCTCAAGCTGA